TCATTGAAGCTGAAAGCCCAACTTTTCAGCTACAGCTCAGATGTGGCCTTCTGTTTACTGCTCCCAATTATTCCTCTATAATTTACACTGCCTTCTGTGTCATCTCTGGTGCTTGCGTTGCTAGTAGTTTCCTTCCTTTTTTTGTATATACATTATCACTTTACATACTGTCAGCAAGTTTTTAAAACCACGACGATGGGTCTGTTTTTCTTGGCTTTATTTTTAGCATTGACTGAGGCTATCAGAAATTGTAGTTTGTAAATTTTACTGCTACTTTAAAGCTGATTCTGAGAGCTGGCTAGCAGACGTTTGCTCTTTCTCTTTCCCAAAGCCTCCATGCAGCATTAATGGATCTTTATATTAACTTGATCTTTACATATTAGCAGATGTCATAGGGTTCTTGGATACAGCTCAACCAGTACACAGCTGCATGTATTTTAATAAGGTGTGTCTGTTGACTAGATGTTTGAGTAACCACTCTTATTATGTAGCAGGCAAATGATCTTCAGATTAGATTCTTTTTTTTTAATTTTCACTTCAAAGGGATAACATTGGGCTATTACTATTATTTATATTGTGGAATCACCAAAAGACCCTTATTAGAATCAGGGCTCCATTGTACCAGGTACTGTAAATACATACATTTGTGTATACAATAAAACCAATAACTGGAGAGTATAACATCGTGCGGCCATTACACAAAGAAAACTGAAATGTATTATTAAAAACATGAATCTCTATAAGCTTAATTATTATTTATTTCCACTAATGGCTATGTGGTAAGAGCTAGCCAACCAGAAATGAGGCAAGATCCCCTGTTGGTCCTGTGTACTGTACATTAGGAGACACCTAAAACCATTGTGGATAAAAATCAATGACTGAAAAAAAATTTTTTTTTTAAATCTGATTTTTTTATTTAAATCGGATTTTTTTGATAAAATGCGTTTTGAGGAAAAAACCTATCTAAAGATAGTTTTAATTAGGATATATTATAACTCAAAGATATTTCATCATGGATTAGGGATTATAAATTCTAATTCTGTAGTATGAGACAATATATTCATGTACTGTTTAAGAAAAGTTTTGTAAATAAATTCCAATAGTTCATGGATTAGGGACCCAATTTTATGAGGTTCTAGGGGCTTCTGTATAGATTATTTAGGTTAATCTTTTCATCTACCCAGTGGGACTCAGTGCTCAGTCTAGAAGATACCAACAGAGATGCTTAGTGTTGCAGTTCTCAAACTGTGGATTTGTGTCTCCAGAGATAACATGCTTGTTAACAGCAAAAACGTTTTAAAATAAACAAATGATATATAGAGGTGAGAAATAACAGACCTCAACCCTATTGTCCCTCTGCAAATTTATGTACACAGAGTGAATCCCTTACCTCTCTCTAAAAGTGCAAAGTTTCAAAAAGTTCAATGAATAGAAGATGGTTGGGGGCAGAATAGATCTGGACAAGGAGAAGAAGTCTGGAGATAAATGTGAGAAGGGAGGGACAGGCAGTAGAAACAAAAGTGAAACTGTTTGAACAGCATATTCCAGAAGTCACTTGAGGTCTTTCTGAGTGTAGACTTCATTGATTTGAGATCTACCATACCATTCTCTCACTAGAAGGGAAAACCTATAATGGCAGCAGGCCATAAAAGAGACCCAGTTTGGGAATAAGAACTATTCAAGAAATATATGCTGATGATGCTTTAAAGAAAGCCACACCAGTGAACTGGTGGAAGTCACTTAAGCACTTGGATTCAGAGACTGTTGAAGTGATAATCTCAGTTTTAACAGCAGTAGCTTCTTCTGCCGGCGTAGAAAGAATATTTGCTTCCTTTGGACTAATTCATTCCAAATTGAGAAATTGCTTGGGACCTGAAAAAGCAGGAGAGCTTGTTTTTCTTTTCCAGATTATGAACAAACAGGAAAATGAAGGTGAAGATGGCTGAGTTAGCTGCAGAAGCCAATATTTTAAGTTTCTCATGATGATCTGGCTGACATAGTTGATTTAATTTTTGTTTTTTAAATATTTCTTTTAACTATTTTAGTTAAAAACAATTTTAACAAAAAAACCCTGATTTTAAAAAACTTGAATGTTTAACTAAATTCAAAATTTCATATTCCTGTTTTGTTAAAATATTATACATTTGCTGTTGAAGAAAAACATCCAGAATACATAATGTTGTTGTTTTAGTTAAATAAAACAATTTAAATGACTGTCTGGTGAGGTTGTCCTTCTAATACAGCATGGCAAGAAAATCCTCCAAATATTAATGATTAACCTCTTGCATTGAACATAGTTTACCTCCCAATGACTTCACAACTATCTGCTTCAATTACCTTTGGTAAATGAAATAACCAAACAATCATTCATTTTCCGATATAGCTGTCAAACTAATCGGAAAAGTTTTCCAAAATAAATCACTTTAAAAATGTATGTGTACCTTCTAAAAACGAAACCTACATCTATCTCTCTGAGTTGTGAAGAATATGTATTAAGGTTTTAACAACCAACCAGAATGCACTTGTATGTAGAAATCCATGATTACATCGAGTCTTCCTGACTAGTGATTTCAATCAGATCCACCCTGCCTCAAACTTTGAGGTATGTTTCAGGATAATTGATGACACAGCTGCTGGGCTGGGTTAGAACAGAAGGATGGGGAATGACAGGGTGTGTGTGTGTGTGTGTGTGTGTGTGGACGGACCCACCCTGTGTGTGTGTGTGTGTGTGTGTGTGTGTAGACCCACCCTGTTGAAGCACCACCGCAGTCAGGACAGCAAGGAAAGCGACTGCAGCCATGCGCCCAGCCCGCGAGCGGGGGCGCAGCAGGCTCCCTGGGTGTGGGATTTCCTCTGAGGCCGTTGGCCGGGCTTGCGCCCGCTCGCACGGGGACAGCCCCGGCCCTGTCCCCACCCCCTCGGGAGCAGGAGGTCAGGGCAGGTCGGAGGCTAGGGCTGGAAGCTGCGCCCAGCGTCTCTCGCTTCCCCGCCCCGCGCGGCAGCCAGGAGCTGTAACTCCGCCGGGCAGCGACGTGAGCCCGCCCGCCGCCGCCGCCGCCGCCGCAGCCCGGGCAGGCGGCCCCGCGACCTGGGCGGCGCAAACAGTCCCCAGCCCGCGCGCGGGGCGGAGCGGCCGGTTGCCCTGCGGGGGCGGCGCCCTGCGCCCCCCAGCCTCACGGGTAAGGGGCCGGGCGGCGGGCAGAGCGGGCTGGGAGCGCAGCAGCGGGGGGCTGCTAATCCGGCGGCGGGACCGGGGCTTGGGATGGTGGAGGGACTGTGTGACCGGGGACCTGGGGACAGATAAGGGGGTGCTGATAGGTGGAGGGGGTCGCTGGTTAATGGGGGCCGGGGGCGGGGAGAGGGGGTGCTGGTTGCTGGGGTTGGGGGACAGGTGGAGGGGGCGGGGGAGAGGGGGTGCTGGTTGCTGGGGTTGGGGGACAGGTGGAGGGGGCGGGGGAGAGGGGGTGCTGGTTGCTGGGGTTGGGGGACAGGTGGAGGGGGCGGGGGAGAGGGGGTGCTGGTTGCTGGGGTTGGGGGACAGGTGGAGGGGGCGGGGGAGAGGGGGTGCTGGTTGCTGGGGGCGGGGGACAGGTGGAGGGGGCGGGGGAGAGGGGTGCTGGTTGCTGGGGTTGGGGGACAGGTGGAGGGGCGGGGGAGAGGGGGTGCTGGTTGCTGGGGGCAGGGGACAGGTGGAGGGGGCGGGGGAGAGGGGGTGCTGGTTGCTGGGGCTGGGGGACAGGTGGAGGGGGGGGGGAGAGGGGGTGCTGGTTGCTGGGGGTGGGGGACAGGTGGAGGGGGGCGGGGGAGAGGAGGTGCTGGTTGCTGGGGGTAGGGGACAGGTGGAGGGGGCGGGGGAGAGGAGGTGCTGGTTGCTGGGGTGGGGGACAGGTGGAGGGGGCGGGGGAGAGGGGGTGCTGGTTGCTGGGGTTGGGGGACAGGTGGAGGGGGCGGGGGGGGGGAGAGGAGGTGCTGGTTGCTGGGGTAGGGGACAGGTGGAGGGGGCGGGGGAGAGGGGGTGCTGGTTGCTGGGGTGGGGGACAGGTGGAGGGGGGCGGGGGAGAGGAGGTGCTGGTTGCTGGGGTAGGGGACAGGTGGAGGGGGGCGGGGGAGAGGGGGTGCTGGTTGCTGGGGTTGGGGGACAGGTGGAGGGGGGCGGGGGAGAGGGGGTGCTGGTTGCTGGGGTGGGGGACAGGTGGAGGGGGGCGGGGGAGAGGGGGTGCTGGTTGCTGGGGTAGGGGACAGGTGGAGGGGGCGGGGGAGAGGGGGTGCTGGTTGCTGGGGCTGGGGGACAGGTGGAGGGGGGGGGGAGAGGGGGTGCTGGTTGCTGGGGTTGGGGGACAGGTGGAGGGGGCGGGGGGAGAGGAGGTGCTGGTTGCTGGGGTAGGGGACAGGTGGAGGGGGGCGGGGGAGAGGGGGTGCTGGTTGCTGGGGTTGGGGGACAGGTGGAGGGGGGCGGGGAGAGGGGCTACTGGTTGCTGGGGTAGGGGACAGGTGGAGGGGGGCGGGGGAGAGGGGGTGCTGGTTGCTGGGGTTGGGGGACAGGTGGAGGGGGCGGGGGAGAGGGGGTGCTGGTTGCTGGGGTGGGGGACAGGTGGAGGGGGCGGGGGAGAGGGGGTGCTGGTTGCTGGGGTGGGGGACAGGTGGAGGGGGGGGGGGAGAGGGGGTGCTGGTTGCTGGGGGCGGGGGAGAGGGGGTGCTGGTTGCTGGAGGGCGGGGTGCTGATTATTACTGCGCTGTGGGGGTGGAGATGCGGGTTGTGAGTGGGCACCATGTGGCTGCACAGAGGCGTGGCATAGAGCCTGTGACCTGAGGACACCGGCCCTGCAGCTGCAGGTCCCCAGGCTGCTGCTGGTGCGCACAGAGGGAGCCGGGAGGAGGCGAGCTGCTACTAGGGTTAGGTTTAGAAATGATCTAGCCGCATCCCCTATTGCGAAGAGCGAAAACAGTGACTGTTGGGAGGAGCAACGCTGAATCGCTCCTTCCGCCTCATCCCGAGTAGTGCGGGATATGGCTGTGGCTGGGACTGGGAACATGAAGGGCAGCTCTGGCTTCCAAGCCTCTTTCTGTCCCTGTCAGCCTAACCTGGTGCTTGTCCCAAGCCCTCGATTTCCTGCTGCCAATACTGATCAAAGCCTGTTCTGGCCGGGGCCGGGGCTCTTTCTGCACTGGTGGGGCTGGATAAGGGAGGGCTAATGATAAACAGTCACAGCCACACGGTCATTCAGAAGTTGCGCGGAGTGACTCCCCTGGTATACTTGTCAGTAGATTGCATCAGCTAATAAGTAGTCAGGCGTGGGTGCTGGGAGAATCGGCCATAAGAAACAAGCAATAGTTGTGCGAGACCAAACCTGTTCTTATTGTAAAAGAACAAAAACAAAAAACACCAACCAGACTCCCAGAGGATATACCTGAGGTAGCTCTGACTGCAAACAGTATTCGTGTTAGCTGAATCAGGAGTGTTACAGGAACACAAAGGGTAAAATTTGCTTTTGTTTTCTCCATAATTATTTCTTACTTTAGCTTGTAAGTATTTTTATAATTTTCTTGCAGGAGACCATGCTTTTGGCTGTTTAGAGTTTGAATATCTTTTGGCAGTAAGATACACAGGAATTTATTTAATGTTTTTATGTGGCTTTCCCCCTAACTTACTGTGTTTTATAAAAAGTTAGTGGCTTTCTCTGGGGGCATAATCCGCCTACTCAATATTTCATATCTCTAGAATCAGTTAATGTTAACTCAGTGCTTGGGGGAAAAAAATACAAGTGGCAAGTAGGAAACTTTACCAGTCAAGTGTGTTTGTGGGCTTGAGCTGTCCATTTCTTAAGAATTTAAACCCTCTGCCCCTGCCCGCCTTTTTTTTTAATTTTTATTTTTCCCTTGATGGTTGCAAAGAATGTGAATGGGTATAGGGCTGTCTGCGGACATTTCCAGTCCTACTGTTGGCTGTTGCTTTCCTAAGGGCAGCAAAGACAAACTGGCCTAATTTCATCAGCTTTAAGTGCTGCTTCTCAGAATCTTTTGACAGTAGTGAAACCATCAGAATCACATCATTCTCACTGTGTTGCTGCTTGGGAAAATTATGAAATGTAGCAGAGTCAAGCTCTGAGGGTGTATCCTCACTACGAAAAAGGATGTGTTTAATACATGCTAGTAGCTAACACATGTTAAAAAGTCCTAGTGTAGACAAGGCAGTTGTAGTTTTAAAATGTACTAGCTGGTTGAGATAACCACATTTTTGCTAGCATAGACAAAGCCTGAATTTATTCACAGGAAAATGAGGGTGAGGTACAAGCAGTTGGAACTACACTTTCTAAATCCCTGTTTTGACAGGCAAAAAGGTGCATTTTCAATCAAGTTTGCTTAACACAATTGAAAAGCCTTCTTTGTTACTCGTTAAGATGCACCACTAACATGCTTGACACCCTCTTAGCTGCCCTGTTGTTGCCAAAAGGTGTGTGTGCGTGCGGGGATCTAGGCTAGAGTATAGAAGCTAACACTGCTTCGACACGTTAGCTTGCATCTTAACCAGAATTAAGAGGGCTTTCAATTCAGTTAAACTAACAGGATTGAAAAAACATGCCCTCCTTTTTCTCTGAGAGACAGGGTGGAAGAGGTAAAATCTTTTATTGGACCAACTTCTGATCAGGTCTGGGAAAGGTACTCAAGAGTGTCACAGCTAAACACAAAGTTTGTGTAGCATAAATAGTTAATACATATTCTAAGGGACAATTCAAGGTGAAGTGTCCCATTAACATCCTGGCAGTCCTAGGACAAAGAAGAGGGGCTGGTGGGTTACAGAATGTTGTAATGAGGTGCAAATCTAGTATCTTTGTTAAAACTGATTTTTAGTGTATAGCAGAGCCATGAATTTAATTTCCCAGGCTCGTTTTTGAAGATGTTGTGCAGGTTTCCTTTGAGGACGTGGACTGACAGACCAGATATGGAGTGGTTGTTTTGTGAAAAGTGTTTCTCCATGGGTAATATGGTGTTTTTGTCTTTTATCATTTTTTCTGTGTGACTTCATTCAACAAGATAGTGATTGTCTGGCTTCACCCAGTAGTTGTTGTTGGGGCATTTAGCACACTGGATGAAGTATATCACATATTGTGATAGGCATGTGTAGGACCCGTGGATCTTGAAAGATGTACTGTGTGGAGTAATGACCATTATAGCAGTGGAGATATGGCTGCAGCTTTTGCAGGGTCTGGTGCCACTTCGAGTTGGTGAGTCTGTGTCTGTAGAGAGCTTGCTCTTGATGATGAAACTGGGGAGTTGTTTGAAGGCAAAAAGGAGAAGGTTCAGGAAAGATTTCTTTCAGGATATAGTTCCCATCGAGTATGGGTTGTAATTGTTTAATGATACCTCATATGGATCCCAGTGTGGTAGGTGACAACTAGGGGAAAAAAGCCTCCAATCCCACACCCCTCATATTGAAGAAGGTTCTTTAATTGGGATATTGGATGGCCTGTTTTACGATGTGATCTACTTCTCTAGTGGAGTGTCCTTATTTGGTGAAGGCAGTTTTAAGTGTGTTTAGATTTGTGTTCCAGCAGTTCTCCTCAAAACATATTGTGTGGTATCCGAGTGCCTGTCTGTAGATAAGATTTCTTGGTGGGTTTGGGTGGTTACTGGATCTGTGAAGATAAGTGTGGTTATCTGTGAGTTTCTTGTTTATAGTTGTTCCATTGCTGAGGCTGATTGTGGTGTCCAGGAAGTTGATGCTGGTTCAGGAGTGTTCTACAGAGAGTTTAATAGATGGGTGGTGGATGTTGAAGTTGTAGTAGAAATCTATGAGTGAGTTTAGGTCGTCTGTCCAGAGGATGAAAATATCATTGATGTGTCTCAGCTATATCACTGGTTTTCTGGTGTACTTGTCCAGAAATTCTTCCTCAAGGTGGCCCCGTCAGATGAGACCCAGTGGGAGGTAAAGGATGAGAAACCTGTTTATTTCCAAGAGCTGGGATTTCAAGCTTCATTCATCTGTTAGCTAAAGATGGATACAAAAAATAGGGTCCTCTTCCTGAGAGAATCCCAGAACCACCAAGGCAACTATGGGGTAGGGTTTCTCCAGGGCATTGCTTCTGCCCCTTGTAGGTGGGGTTCCCTCATCTTACATATCAGCCCCTGCCTAGCATGTGTTTCTGGTAAATTTGATATGCTGGTTAAATCAGCTGTGAGTAATGTTTCAGCAATTACTTCGATCAATATGTTCTAACTGAAATGTTTAACAGATGAAAAAAAATAAGCCTCTTCCAAAATTATGCTTAAAGAGCTGCTGACTCTTCCTAATTTTAGGTGCTCAGATTCCATGGTGATGAGTGCAGCATAAATGGCAAGGCTCATGGGAAAACTTGGAAAAAAATCCCAAATATTACATTTACGAACAGATATGCAGACAATTGTCTGTGCAGATCTGTCTTCTTTAGATAACTGAAAGTGTAAGAAAAAATATTCACTTTCTTTTTCGCCAGTTCCTGCCCCCCATGAAATTCAGTAAAATGGATATTTTCACATTGAAAGCACGCAAACATGAATTTTAGCGTCTGTCCACTTCAAAGCTGCCTTCGCTTCAAAATGGATCTTGTTCTATGTGATAATATATTATTTATTTAATGTGGTGGTCAATTTTTAGTGAAAGAATTCACACAAAAAAGTAAGGGCCCAATTCTGCTACTCTTATTCATGAATAGTACCTTCCTTTGACAATTCATCCTGTTGACTTAATTTGACTACTCATAGAAGTAAAGTATTCAGAATGAGACACATGGTGGACATTTAAGAATTCCGTACTTGAGTATTTTTCCATTTTATTACAAATGTTTCATATGCATCTATACTAGGTTCATTATTTGCATGAACAAACATTGGACTATACACACTGCTGTATGAGCAGGTGTGACTACTGAAGTAGCACCTGCTTTATACCAGGGCTGAACCTGGCCTACTCGGCTTTATAAAGATGAACAGTGATCCTTATCAGAAGATACTTAAGCATATATCAAAGGATATTTCTGCAACATAATTTTCTTATGTTAGCTTTTATTTAAGGCCCTGATCCTGCAAATACTTATGCACATTTAATGATATGTATTTGAATAGTTCCTTTGAAGCCGGTGGGTAAAGTTATGCATTTATATAAGCATCACGGTCTTAGATTGTAATCTCAAGTCTTGAAACTGTTTGAATTTATTTGTAAAAGACAGCACATATCTGTGGCACTGTACAAATATTAATAGATACTGGAGCATAGAGTTGGACTTCGGTAGCAGTTGATCTGGTTTAATTTTATCTTCCTCAGTGTTTCTAAGACTTTCAATATTCTTACTTTGTATTCTATTGTATGTAAAGTAAAGATTATATTATCCTGTTTAACTATAAAATAAACCAGCTTTTGAACTTACACAAAGCTCTTCTTTCCCAGACCTGAAGAAGACCTCTGTAAGCCCAAAAGCTTGTCTCTCTCACCAACAGAAATTGATACAATAAAAGATACTACCTCACCTACTTTGTGTCTCTAATAATTTATTTAAAATTTTTTTATTGGAACATGATCTCTCTATCATCTAATGCCTTCTTGTAAGGTCGGTCAGTTTCACTTAAAGGGCTACATAGTGCTGTGGAATAGATATGTGGGTGGCAGAATTTGATATTTATATTTTAGATGGATAATACTGATGTTTACTTTTAAGCATTTGTTTTTATTGATTTTACATTTTCACAGTTGTGGGAAATTGGTGAGGAATCAGACAATAATTATTTCCTGAGAGTAGACATTGAGATTCAAAAAGTTAAAGCTTTGTGACCATTAAAAGACAAATTGTGGACATCGTGTCAATGTACAAAGTAAATATTCTTAAATAAAACCCTAAGTTCTCAAGCAGCATTTTTCTTATTTTGCCTAGCTGTAAATTTTGATTATCATCGATGGAAATAATTTTGTCAGTTTGTGTGTACATGACGAAATTGACATTTACTGACAAACCTCTAATCCTTCCAAGTCATATATATTTATATATAACATTTTTTTTAAAAGATTGTATCATGCCACAGACTTATTTTTTTAAACAGACTCTCATTGGTTGTACTAAGGTGTTCTGAGTTCAATAGATATGACACAATAGTGCCCTAAGGCTTAATCTACAATAGATTTTTTTTCTAAAAAATTTCCACTGTTTTAACATTGATGCTGTCCACATGTGGTAGCAAACAAGGCTGCATTAAGGCACTCTAGCCCCTTGGGCACATTCCATATGGGTATAGAAGTAGATTGCAGAATTAAGATGAGGGTGTGCTATTCAGACCACTTGGAGCTATTGTTTTAGCTGTTTTCAGACATTAATTACACCAGGTCACGTTTTCAAGCTTTTTTTTTTTTTTTTTTTTTTTTTTTTGCTATCAGAGGGCTAGAAACATTTTTCTAATGTGAAAATGGAGACTGATCTCTTCATGTGACTCTAGGAGACAGGACCCCATAATGCCTATTCCTTAATCCAGCCCTGGTACTAGCTGGGAGTGCTACTGTAGGTTGGTGGACAGTATATTAACAGCTGCATAGTATATCTGTTCTGAACTGCAGTTTATATTGTGTACAAATACTGTGAGTGCAGGTGGGGAAAGGATAGCTATAACTGCTAAATCTTAAAGAAGCACAAAATCTTATTTATAGATATCCTGGGCAAAAAAGCAAGAGTTGAAATACACAACAAACAGTTGTTTCTAGAATAATAGAAGTTAGAGGGAGAGAGACTGGCTGTTCCAATAAGTCTTTTTCTATCTCTTAGCCCAGGCAGGTTCTAAATTAAATGTTTTCCAAAGGTTTCCATGAAGCAGCAATCATAAGGTCTCAAAGTTAAACACTTGCCTAAGGAAAAACTAGCTTACCTTAAACAAGCTTTGCACTATCAAATTACCCACACCCCTGACCTATATAAGTTACACTGATAGAAGTACTGGTGCAGACAATGCTATATTGGCAAGAGACGCTCTTCAACCGACATAGCTACCACCGCTCATTGGGGGTGGCTTAATTATGTTGATGGGAGAGCTTTCTCCCGTCAGCATAGAGCAGCTACATGGGAGATTTTGCAGCTACATCTGTACAGCTGTGCCACTGTAAGGTCTCTAGTGTAGACATAGCCTAATTGTAGGGAAACTCTTATTATGATTGAGTCGTTTCTCTTTGTATAATGAAAATATAGTCTAAACCCATCCGACGTTCATGTCACATTTCTGAAAATGTCATTAATCTATCCTTAGTAATACAGGTTTTTTTTGTTCTGAGTATGTGTAAACTGTTTGAATTAGAAAGATGCTCATTTAACCTTTCATTGTTAGTACTCCATTGTGCTTGGTAGTAAATGAGAAGGTTAGAAACTGCACAACAGTCAAGTATTAACAGTACATAAAGATTTGTCTGTATTTAAAGACTGCAAAACAAAATGAAAGCATGATTAATTTAGTAATTGTTATCACCTTTTCTCAATTGCTTCCAGGTAGTTTAAAATAAATGAAGATTTTCCCATCATGTCTTTCCATACAGGATCAGTAACTAGCTACTGTAGAACACAGGCCTTCAAACAGTTAAGTGCTCAAGAGGTAAAGCAAGATGTTGTTGGTTCCTTTTTTATTAACTGGAAATCATCTTATCGCTTTTCGTTGAATAGATACTATATCCTTAAACTGCTTTTGGTTTCATGATGAACTTGGACTTTAAGCCCAACACAGATGGAAAACCAAATTATTATTTATTTTATGAAAATTGGTTTTACTAAAATTTTACTAAAATTGGTTGTGACTAGTTTGTTTTGATTACAACTGTGCATTGTGTACCTCTGTTAGGTTTGGACATTGACTTCAGATAACTCATTTATGACTTTACAGTAAAATTGTATCTAACTAAAATATTTGTTTGATAATTAAACATATCTAAGAGAGTTTCCCTTTTCAAGCTTTTTCCAAAACCTGAAATATTATCTCATTTAAGTGGGAGTTGTTTTGAAAGTAATTAAAATCTCTTATCTATATTCTGAGACTAGTAACTGCTTCTGATAAGATCTAACAGGCAGCATCTTAGAGTAAAATTATACTCAGTGTAAATGACAGGTTTCAGAGTAGCAGCCGTGTTAGTCTGTATTCGCAAAAATAAAAGGAGTACTAGTGGCACCTTAGAGACTAACCAATTTATTTGAGCATAAGCTTTCATGAGCTACAGCTCACTTCATCGGATGCATTCAGTGGAAAATACAGTGAGGAGATTTATATACACACAGAACATGAAAAAATGGGTGTTATCATACACACTTATCATACACACTGTAAGGAGAATGATCACTTAAGATGAGCTATTACCAGCAGGAGAGCCGGGTGTGGGGGGGGGAAGAAAACCTTTTGTAGTGATAATCAAGGTGGGCCATTTCCAGCAGTTAACAGGAACATCTGAGGAACGGGGTAGGGGTGGGGGTGGGGGTGTGGGAGAAATAAACATGGGGAAATAGTTAACTTAGGCTTGAAGAGAGACTGGGAGTGGATGTGTCATTACACAAAGTAAAACTATTTCAAATAAATTGGTTAGTCTCTAAGGTGTCACAAGTACTCCTTTTCTATTTCCCCATGTTTATTCCCCCCCCCCCCCCGCCCCGTTCCTCAGACGTTCCTGTTAACTGCTGGAAATGGCCCACCTTGATTATCACTACAAAAGGTTTTCTTCCCCCTCCGCCTTCCCCCCCCCAGTAATAACTCATCTTAAGTGATCACTCTCCTTACAGTGTGTATGATGATACCCATTTTTTCATGTTCTGTGTGTATATAAATCTCCTCACTGTATTTTCCACTGAATGCATCCGATGAAGTGAGCTGTAGCTCATGAAAGCTTATGCTCAAATAAATTGGTTAGTCTCTAAGGTGCCACTAGTACTCCTTTTCATTCAGTGTAAATGTTATAGTTGTAGAATACTTGCAGTAAGGTGTGGTGTTGACTTGTGTGATAATTAGGGCATTAGTATCCTAAAAGGCAACGCTTCTTTATTGCATAACTGATTAATAATGAGTATTCAAAAATAACTTTTAATCAAACTAACTGATTGCTAAATATTTATGTTCCTATAAGAAATGTTGGGCTTGATAATGCTGGTTTATAGTATGTATGTATGTATTAAATATGACATGTTTGGAAATGTCAGTTTTTAAAAATTCTTCTTGTGAAAAAGGGTCTAAAGCAAATCAGATGTTTAACAGAATATTTTCCTAACCTTTTAGGTTATGGAATTCTGAATATGTCAAGCATAACATAATATGTCATTGTCCCCAGTAACTATTCTCCAGATAAAATGGAAATACTTCAGTTTTGATTTGGATACCTGTTCCTTCCCAGATTCCAAAGGAGCTTTGCTTTGATCTTTAAACTAACCAGACTGTTGTCTGCTGTCAGGCTCTGGTGCAGCTTATTTAGTTTAAAAACAGTATGTATCTTAGCAGCTTCTCCCTTCCAACTATTAATTTACAAGAATTACAGTTCCTCTTTCTTTTCTTAATACTTTCAGTGTTATGCCAGTATGTTTTTAAACATCTTAATTCAACACAAACTGAGGACCTATTCGTGTAAACGGCACATGCTTAACTTTACCATGAGTAGTTACATTGAAATAAATAATATTCACTGTAGTAGAATTAGAATGTGCATAAGTGTCGGCAGGATTGGGGCCTAAGAAAACAGGATTTCTTTCTCTTCCCCTTAGATATTTTGCTCCCCCCCCAGCCAACGCATTTTAATAACTTTGTTTTCTCAAAAATAACTAAAAATAAAATAGTTGTATTGGCCATTACATTTGTGAAGCATGTCAATTTTTGTTGCCAGTCCTGAACTGTTATGTTGTTGTGACCTAAACAATGGAAATGCAACAATATTACAGTGGGTGAGAGATTAGAGCATTTTTGTAACACAGGTTTGACTAAACTCTGTCTTTCTCTGCAGTGCTTAATAAAACATTGTGCATTGTTCTCCTGAGAGACCTCCATAATCCGATTGTCTTTATTTATTTGTTTTGGTTTTTTGTCTTAGTTGACCAAGCAAAGCAATAAGGTAACTGTCTCCGAGTCAGTGTATTTATCGAATGCTACAGTGTTTGCCCCAGCAAGGATTAGCTGTCTTGCTCAGACACCTCAAATTTCAGATCTCTCAGGTATGATTTTTATAATCGATTTTTCTAACTTATATTCTTAACTGTTGATTGCATGGCATGATAGTCAGCCTATTAATAGAAATGGTAGATATTTGTATAGTCCTTTAATTACCGAGAGCTAACTGACTGAAAATGAAAATTTATTTGTTGGCTGTTGAGATGAGTCAGTACAAAAGTGCCTCCTTCACTCTGCCTCGCTTCCTTGCCTTGAGAAGAATCTGCCATCCATTCTGGTCAGAACAGCAATCTGAGTGCTCAAAAGGTAAAATGAATGCTTCTTCCCATGAATAATCTGAATGGTATTTGAAAATAAAGACTTTGCCCTTACTCATGCAAGTAGTAATAATTTTGTTGACCTCAGCAGGCTACTAGCTTGAATACAATTTGCAAGATGAAGCCATTAGTAGGAATACACTAGTTGTAATTTCAAAATTTGAGCTTAAAATAACACTTCTGATGTTGGCAACATAGGAGCCCAGAGTAAAGATGAAAGTTTATAATGGGGGATTAGCCCGTCTATGACCAAAAAGAAGGATTTTAGCCAGTGCTGACCCAGAATAAAACCCAAACATTGTAATTTTGAGGCAACAATCACATTACTTCTACTTGGACAGTCCCTTCCATTGTTCACTTAAGCTTTGCTTTAAATGATGTGGATAGAAAGCTGGAGAAATCAGTAGAGAACATTGAAAGTCTCACAAGGCAAGAGAATCTCTGTCATTATTGCTGTAGTGCCTAGGAGCCCTACTTATGGGGAGGACTCCATTGTACCAGGTGCTATACAAACACAGAATGAAAAGACGCTGCCTGCCCAAAGAGTTTACAATCTAAGTATAAGACAAGAAACATCAGATGGATACAGGCAGATGGGAGTAGAAGGAAACCATGAGACAATGTTGGTCAGTGTGATAGGCAGTAGTACCAATGGCCTAACTGATTTTTTGTAGGCATCCTGGCTAAGAGTTTTAAGGCGGTAGGTCTGCACATGTTTATGGGGAGCGCCTCCCAAGCATGAGTGGCAGCAAAGAAACAAAAGAGGGAGAAAGCACAAAAGTTCTTGTTTTAAACTTTAACAAGTGGATTATAGAAGCTGACATCATGGGCCGATTGGATGCAGGAATCAATATGGTTGGAAAATAACTGGTTGGAAAACAGTTCCCAGAGAATAGTTATCAGTGGTTCACAGTCATGCTGGAAGGGCATCACAAGTGGGGTCCCACAGGGATCGGTTCTGGTCTGGTTCTGTTCAATATCTTCATCAAAGATTTAGATAATGGCATAGAGAGTGTACTTATAAAGTTTGCGGACGATACCAAGCTGGGAGGGGTTGCAAACGCTTTGGAGGATTGGATTAAAATTCAAAATGATCTGGAGAAATGGTCTGAAGTAAATAGGATGAAATTCAATAAGGACAAATGCAAAGTACTCCACTTAGGAAGGAACAATCATTTGCACACATACAAAATGGGAAATGACTGCCTTGGAAGGAGTACTGCGTGAAGGAATCTGGGGCTCATAGTGGACCACAAGCTAAATATGAGTCAACAGTGTAACATTGTTGCAAAAAAAAGCGAACATCATTCTGGGATGTATTAGCAGGAGTATTATAAGCAAGACATGAGAAGTAATTCTTCTGTTCTACTCCGTGCTGATTAGGGCTCAACTGGAGTATTGTGTCCAGTTCTGGGTGCCACATTTCAAAAAAGATGTGGACAAATTGGAGAGAGTCCAGAGAAGAGCAACAAAAATGATTAAAGGTCTAGAAAACATGACCTATATATGAGGGAAGATTGAAAAAATTGCATTTGATTAGTCTGGAAAAGAGAAGACTAGAGGGAACATAACAGTTTTCAAGTACATAAAAGGTCATTACAAGGAGGAGGAAGAAAAATTGTTCTTAACCACTGAGGATAGGACAAGAAGCAATGGTCTTAAATTGCAGCAAGGGCCATTTAGGTTGGACATTAGGAAAAACTTCTTAACTGTCAGGGTGGTTAAGCACTGGAATAAATTGCCTAGGGAGGTTGTGGAATCTCCATAATTGGAGATTTTTAAGAGCAGGTTGGACAAACACCTGTCGGGGTGGTCTGGATAATGCTTCGTCCTGCCATGAGTTCAGGGGACTGGACTAGATGACCTCTTGAGGTCCCTTCCAGTTCTATGATTCTATGTCAATAGTAAATGAGAGATGATAGGTAGGAGGAAGTGTAGACCATGAAGGGCCTTGAAAGTGAAGACCTGCTGCCCACCTTCCCCCACGGGGCACACAGAGATGTGCCAGCAGCAGGGCTAAGGCGGCTCCCTGCCCACTCTGCCTCCTTCCCACCGTGCCGCTTTGCTCCCAGAAGCAGCTGGCATGTTCCAGCATCCCTAGGGGTAAGTGTGTGTGTGTGGGGGGGTGTCTCTGCATGCTGCCCCCACCCCGAACGCCGACTCCACAGCTCCCATTGGCTGGGAACTGCAGCCAATGGGAGCTGCGGGGGAGGTGCCTGCAGGCAGCAGTGCATGGAGACCCCCTGCCCCCCCCCCCAACCTAGGAGCCTCTGCCAGAGGGATATGTGCACCAGTCACTTTTGGGAGCCGCACCGTCCAAGGTAAGCATTGCCCCCTACTCCCCTCCTGTACCCCTGCCCCAGCCCAGAGCCCTCACCCCTCCTCCTGTACCCCAACCCCCTGCCCCAGCCCAGAGCCCAGACCCAAACTTCCTGCCAGAGCCCTCACCCCTCTTTCCACATTCCTGCCCCAGCCGAGTGCCCACACCCAGCACCCAAACTTCCTCCCAGTGCCTGCCCCCCCCACCTTCTGCACCCCAACCCCCTGCCCCAATCAAGGTTCCTCACTTTATTTTCATTTACTTCCCATTACTTATAATATAAGAGGAGGATGAAGAAAGAAAGAATGAAAAATGGAGTGGGGTGGGGGAGGAGATAAGAGAGCATGTTATTTTTCTTGGCTGGGTCCTGAAAATGAAGCTGCACACAGAGCCCCACTAATTCTAAATCCGATACTACTTCTGACAGGCCAAGGAGAATGAGGATGGAGTGCTAGTTCTGAGATTTGGCTAAGAAGAGGCCACTAGAGACTTTGAGAGAGGTTTCAGTGGAGTGCAAGGAGCAAAAACCAGACTTGAAAAGGTCTTGGGATGGAATTGCGGGAGAGGAGCTCCAGACAGCAATTGTACAGATAGCAGGCTCAATGAGTTTAGAGATGAACCGGGGAAGGGAGATGGGGCAGTAGTTGGAGAGGAAAATCGGTTGAAGGATGGGAGAGACTAAAGCATGTTTGTATTGTGAGCGGAAAGAACCAGTGAGAGTGAGAGGTTAAGGAGAAGAGTAAGGAAGGAGATGAGTGAGGGCAAGGGCTACCAGAAGATGGGATAGGGTGAGGTTACTCATGGAAGTGGAGAGAGTGGGGGAGGTGAGCAGGCAAAAACCTACATCTGTTACAGAGGAGAAGATGGAGAGAGCTGTAGGAGGGAAAGGGTAAGGCCATGCCATATGTAGTTAATTTTCTCTTGGAAGAAATTGGTGAGATTCTATATGGGGCAAGAAGTAGAGGGAGGAGGAGAAGGTTTGAGGAGTGAGTCAAAGATGGCAAAAAAGCACTAGGATTGTGAATGTGGGATTCAATTAAATTGGATAAGTAGAACTGTTTACTTAGGATGATGGCAGAACTGAAGGAGGAGAGAACGAATTTATAGTGGAGGAAGTCAGTCTGGTCATTGGGATTTTCACCTGAGATGCTCCACAGTACAAAAGCCAGATTAGAGGAAGAGGCTGTTGGGGGGTGAGCCAGGGCTGGGGGTTGGCAGGCAGAACTTGTGATTGGAAAGACTGGCAAAAGAGTCAGAGGTAGAGGAGAGGCTGTATTTTGAATATTTTGTCTTATATGGAGGATGATGTGCATATGGGGAGAGAGACATGCAAGTGCAACCTATTAAAGTTATCAAACTATGCCCCCCCCCCCCCCGGAAAACAAATACAAGTATCGTAGAACCTCAGCGTTATGAACATCTCAGGAATGGAGGCTGTTTGTAACTCAGAAATGTTTGCAACTCTGAACAAAACGCTATTGTGGTTCTTTCAAAAGTTTACAAGTGAACGTTGAATTAATACAGCGTTGAAACTTTACTAGGCAGAAGAAAAATGCTGCTTTCCCTTTATTTAACACAGTACTGTACTGTATTTGCTTTTGTGTGTATGTCTCTGCTGCTGCCAGATTGTGTACTTCCGGTTCCAAATGAGGTGGGTGGTTAACTGGTCAGTTCATAACTCTGGTGTTTGTAACTCTGCGGTTCTACTGTATTGCCCTTTTTTGAAAGTCTTTTAGCTTTCAGTCCCTGTCTCTTTGAGTCTATGCTGCTTAAGGAACAAATCACTAGCAACGTGATTTCCGCAAGCAGTGGGATCAGTTCATTAATGTTTAGCAGTTTTTCAGATGCACCTTAGATTTCTCTTCTGAGAAGTGCTTTTACAATATTGAGGCTGCTAGGCTGAGCAAAGTGGCTAGGAGTTTTCTTAGAGTCCCTAAATTAGTAAACTCTCTTATCTAACAAACAATTCCAGCACATACTGGCTCCCAGTTGAGTGGGCCTTAGTGAGATTTGTTGCCAGTTGTTTTTAGTTGAGATTCATTTCCTGACAATGTCCAAGGAGACAACTCTTGGACAAAGGTCTCCCAGACTTGCCACTCTGTTCCGCTTGTGGTACTTGGCATTCCCTCTGGTCCTAATAAATTGCCCTTTGCTCTGGATATGAATCTTGCTGTTTGCACCTATTCTCAGACTTTCACAATCAACTTATCTGCCTTCAATGAGACACATGCCCATTTCTTTGTCATGTGAGGTCTGATAACTTATCTCGTAACATCCACCACATGACAAGGCCCTTCATTTAATGACTGATGGTAAGTTTTTGCTAAATTTCTTGATGAAGAAATGTGTCTGGTTCTACAATTCCATAATTTGTAGTAATTGATTGCAGTGCATACTAGTACATCATACTCATGATGTCAGACCTGCTTTTAAAAATCTTAACCAAATTCTTCTCTGTTCTGTTGACCTCCAACTTTGCAGTAATTCACTTAAAATTGTGAAATTGTAGCATATAGAGCGTTTGATTCCTTCCAAGGAACTCTGTGCCTTAGTTATTTGTTAAGGGTCCAGACAAAATGCTGCTGCCATTCTGAATAATGGTTTCATGGTAATTCTGGCCTTGTCTTGTCTGGGATTGAAAGGAACACATTCTAAAATTTGGTGTAGGCTGAGCAGTGTAGTCTTTAACCTGTGCTAAGCTAGCTGAGCCAGTATTGGGCCCATACTTTCCGGTCGTTGTTTCCTCCGGATCCAGCAGGAGTATGAATGAGTGGGAAGGCTGGCTGCAGTGAAAGCATCATATGCCCTTGCTTTTTGTCCCAACCAGCTGGGATCTTGTCTGGATCCAGCAGGAGTATCAGTGAGTGGGGAAGTGCTTCAAGAAAGGTAATTTTTTCTATGAAAGAAAGCACATCAGAAATGTGAAGGTTCTTGTAAAAGTACTCTGTAGGTATCCATTGCTGCTTTTTTTCTTTCTCTTTTCTTTTTTTTTTTTTTTTAAGTGGAGTGGATTCTGTCATATTTTATTCTTCAAAAATAATTCCTTATAAAGATCTCAACTTGGTGCTTGTTTCCATCTATTTGCAGACTCAGTAAGTGCCTTTGTAAAAATGACATTTGCAACTGTAAAGAATATAAATGAAAGTTTAAATTCTAAATATTACACCTTTCATTACCCTCTTTGTTTAGCGGGAATCTTTCTTGCCTGGTTGTCTACACTTATAGTGCTGCAGTGGTTGTAGAGGGAGAACTTCTCCCATTAGCATAGGTACTCCATCCCCCCAGTAGACAGTAGCTATGTTGACATAGTGCTGTCTGTACAGGGGGTTAAGTTAGTATAACTGCATTGCTAAGGGATGTGAATATTCCATACCCCTGAGCAACACAGTTATATTGACATAAGTCTGTAGTGTAGACCAGCCTAAGTCCTGCCAGTGAGTTTCAATGGCTTGGTGAAGACTCTAGCACTTCATGTTCTTTTTTGACACAATGTATACTGTATGACTCCTCTGCCTTTTGTAGTAATCTGTATTCTTCTGCCTTGCTAAACTGTTAAGTTCCATTCTTGCCTTAATGCAGGAGATAGTGTAAGGACTGGAGCATTGTGTGTGTGGTTTTTGTTGTTTGTTTTTCCCCTGTTCAGGATTTCCTGAAGGCTCTTTCTTTTCAGCTCACATGTAGTTTCCAAAAATGACACATATTGGGAACATATTGGGACAACCAACCACAGTTTAAATGTATCATAAAGGGAAGGGTAAACACCTTTAAAATCCCTCCTGGCCAGAGGAAAAACCCTTTCACCTGTAAAGGGTTAAGAAGCTAGGATAACCTCGCTGCCACCATGTCAAGGTTCCTTCCCCACTCTGAACTCTAGGGTACAGATGTGGGGACCTGCATGAAAACCCCCAAGCTTATTTTTACCAGCTTAGGTTAAAACTTCCCCAAGGTACAAACTATTTTCTTTTTTCCCTTGGACTTTATTGCTGTCACCACTAAGCGTCTAACAGATATATAACAGGGAAAGAGCCCGCTTGGAAATATCTTTCCCCCCTACACTCCCTTTCCCGGGGAAGGTTTGATAAAAATCCTCACCAATTTGCATAGGTGAACACAGACCCAAACCCCTGAATCTTAAGAACAATGAAAAAGCAATCAGGTTCTTAAAAGAAGAATTTTAATCGAAGAAAAAGTAAAAGAATCACCTCTGTAAAATCAGGATGGTAAATACCTTACAGGGTAATCAGATTCAAAACATAGAGAATCCCTCTAGGCAAAACCTTAAGTTACAAAAAGACACACAAACAGGAATCTATATTTCATTCAGCATAGCTTATTTTCTCAGCCAGTTAAACAAAACAGAATCTAACGCATATCTAGCTAGGTTTCAGAGTAACAGCCGTGTTAGTCTGTATTCGCAAAAAGAAAAGGAGTACTTGTGGCACCTTAGAGACTAACCAATTTATTTGAGCATAAGCTTTCGTGAGCTACAGCTCACTTCTGTATTTTCCACAGTATGCATCCGATGAAGATGTTTTTATACACACAAACCATGAAAAAATGGGTGTTTATCACTACAAAAGGTTTTCTCTCCCCCACCCCACTTTCCTGCTGGTAATAGCTTATGTAAAGTGATCACTCTCCTTACAATGTGTATGATAATCAAGGTGGGCCATTTCCAGCACAAATCCAGGGTTTAATAAGAACGTCTGAGGAACCGGGGGTGGGGGGGGGAAACAAGGGGAAATAGGTTACCTTGCATAATAACTTAGCCACTCCCAGTCTCTATTCTAAGTTAATTGTATCCAATTTGCAAATGAATTCCAGCAGTCTCTCGCTGGAGTCTGATTTTGAAGTTTTTCTGTTGTAATATCACAATTTTCATGTCTGTAATCGCATGACCAGAGAGATTGAAGTGTTCTCCGACTGGTTTATGAATGTTATAATTCTTGACATCTGATTTGTGTCCATTTATTCTTTTACGTAGAGACTGTCCAGTTTGACCAATGTACATGTCAGAGGGGCATTGGTGGCACATGATGGCATATATCACATTGGTGGATGTGCAGGTGAACGAGCCTCTGATAGTGTGGCTGATGTGATTAGGCCCTGTGATGGTGTCCCCTGAATAGATATGTGGGCAGAGTTGGCAATGGGCTTTGTTGCAAGGATAGGTTCCTGGGTTAGTGGTTCTGTTGTGTGGTATGTGGTTGCTGGTGAGTATTTGCTTCAGGTTGGGGGTTGTCTGTAGGCAAGGACTGGCCTGTCTCCCAAGATTTGTGAGAGTGTTGGGTCATCCTTCAGATAGGTTGTAGATCCTTGATAATGCGTTGGAGGGGTTTTAGTTGGGGGCTGAAGGTGACAGCTAGTGGCGTTCTGTTATTTTCTTTGTTAGGCCTGTCCTGTAGTAGGTGACTTCTGGGAACTCTATCTAATTCCTGTTCTGTTGCTGGCAAAAGCATCACACAGACAGAGAGAACCATTGTCGTCCTTCCCCCCTCCCACCCACCCCCTCCGGCCACCCCAGCTTTGAAAGTATCGTCTCCTCATTGGTCATTTTGGTCACGTGCCAGCAAGGTTATCTTAGCTTCTTAACCCTTTACAGGTGAAAGGGTTTTTCCTTGGGCCAGGAGGGATTTTAAAGGTGTTTACCCTTCCCTTTATATTTATGACAAAATGTTTACTGATTATACATGCTTGGCTAGGAATGGCTTACTTTACTGTTGATGATTATCTATGATTGATCAACAATAGAAACATTTCCTGGTTGCAGGAGACAAGATCCCTAACCTTCCAGTGGAAGTGGTGTTGGGGGTTTTGTTTGGAATTTTTTTTTCCATTGGAGGTGTTCTCTATTCGTGCTGTAACTAGTAACCTTTTTTTGATGATTTCCTAACCTCTCAATCCCTTACTTTTCCTAAACAGATGAGTACTCAAGGCCAGCAGTGATTGGGCATGCAGGAAATTTTAGATCATTCCTGGACAGTACTGCAGCTATCAAAGAAATTCTTGCATCTGTTCTAAATACATCTGGTATTAAACCATCTTCACTACCAGAGAAAACTGTATTGCAGACAACTGAAGATCCAGACAGCAATATGGAACACTGGGAGGAGAGTACCGATGGTGATTCTAATGATGACAGTGACACAGACTATACACATCACCATATTGCTTCTACACAAATGGATGTTAGATTTATGAGGCATAAAGCATCTTGGGATAATACTCAGTGTAGTTCTTCTAAATCTTCACTGGTTTCCTCATCATGCCCACTTTATCCTGGCAGAAGCTCCATCACTTCGGCGTTAAATAGCTCATCCCGCTTGGAAATGTCTCCTCTGAAATGTGATTACTTTACTCAAGTGACATTAACTGGAGGCACTGTCACATCATTGACAAACTCTGCTATTATGTGTTCAGAAAAAGAACTTAAAAACTCTTCAAGTTCACCAGACCACCCTTTGCCTTTTAACGGAATCTCTCCAGATTCAACAGCTAATGAGCTGTCGTCAGCATTTAGAAATTCTGAGACTTTGGAACCCATGCCACTCGGAGATGAGGGCAGCAATGCTTTCCACCCACGTTCACAGTCAGCGCCCTCTGATCAGCAAGGTAACTTTCATTTAATCACTTCCAAACCTTTTCCAGGTAAGACTTTTGTAGTACTAATGGATAGACCCAAATGAAACTAGTTTCACTGTGGTGATATAACTGACCACGCAAACACTGCCACTTGGGGCTGTCTACACTTAAAACACTACGGTGTAGACACTACCTACTCTGATGGGAGGGGTTCTGCTGTTGCCATAGATAATCCACCTCCCCAACAGGTGGTAGCTATATCAACCAAAGAATTCTTCCATCAACCTAGCGCTGTCTACATCAAGAGTTAGGTTGGCTTAACTATACCACTCAGGTGTGGATTTTTCCCACCCTTGAGCGACGTAGCTGGGTCAACCTAACTTTATAGTGTAATCCAGGCTTTGGAATGGGACAGAGTAAAGATGGAGGAATAACAAATTAAGAATAGCTGTTCTCTGGGGACAAACTAATCAGTGAGACTCTGAACACATGCTAGGGGGTGTCTCTGCTATTTTCTTTTTATAAGAATGCTAAAAGATTCTAATTTAGTACTGAATCTCTAATAGAACATAAGTCATTTAACTCTAATAATGCAGATAATGTAACTTAAGAGACTACTGCCCAACTTTATCTTATCTCAGAATTTCCCTTATGCTAAAAGCAAATAAAGTAAATCTTGGCATTTTTTGCTTTAGCTAATGGTTAAATGATGTGCTGGAGGGGATTCCTGGAAGACCCTTATTATGTTTGACACCAAATTGCACACAAGAAAGAGGGGTGATTTCCCTGACTCTGATGGGAATTCATCTCCTCTCTGGGTACTGCTGTATCATCCTATGCCACAGTTGACTTATACCTTCCGCAGAATATATATATTTTTTGCTTTTGGAATAGACCAGATTTCACCAAAAGGCAGGTATCCTCAAAGGGATCGTATCTTCAGACTTACACCAAAAGCTCTTCATTTGTCATCCACCTCCTTCAAATGATGCAAATCTTAACACTGTGCTGTATTTGCAACATACTCATATTTTGTTCCTTAAAAAAACACCACCACCATATTCATTCCTGCGAAAGTGCATATAGTAAGTTTGCTTGTTCTGGGGCATCACCTCCTGGAATTGTTACGATAAAGAACTTATGTTTTATAGGAATCTATTTTCTCATCAGATACTCCCCACTGTTCTTTGTGAGCACATAAACAGGATCAGGGAGAAGAGTTTTGCAGGAGCCCCTTGTTCTAAATACAGTGTGAGCAGCATTGCTGATAAGTTTCAGTTTTTGTTTGTTTAGTCATATGAAGAGTACTTTTAGTCATATGAAGAGTTTAGTCATATGAAGAGTCCCAGATTGTCATCAATGGAAAATAAAGTTCTCTATTATCAAGGTGCAGGACAAATAGTGACATTAGGGGAGATGGCATGGTCTAATCCAGCATTTTTTTAAAGTTCGGGTCATGACCCAGTATTGGGTCGCAGCATGTAAGGCACTGGGTTGCTCTGGTCAGCACCGCTGACCAAGATGTTAAAAGTCCTGTCAGCGGTGCTGTCCAGCTAAGGCAGGCTAGTGCCTACCTGTTCCGACATTGCACTGCGCCTTGGAATCGGCCAGCAGCAGATCTGACTTCTGGGCTGGGGGCCAAGGGGCTCTGCGCGCTGTCCCCACTCCGAGCACCGGCTCCACTGTGGGTGGTGGTGGTGGTGCGTGCAGGCGAGAGCCGTGCGGAGCTGCTTGTGCACCTCTGCCTAGGAGCCAGACCTGCTGCTGGCCTCTTCAGGTGGTCCACAGTGCCAGGACAGGCGAGAAGCCTGCCTCTGCACCCCGGCTGTGCCGCTGACTGGGAGCTGCCGGAGGTAAGTCAGCGCCCCAACCCCGCAACACCAATCCCCTGCCCCAGTCCTGAGCCCCCACAAACATGGAACCCCTTCCTACACCCCAAACCCCTCATCCCTGGCCCCACCTTAGAGCCTGCACCTGGAGCCCTGACCCCCTCCCATGCCCCAAACCCCTCATCCCCAGCTCTGTGGGGTCACAAGCATCAACAATTTTCTTCAACTGTGTCCCCAGATAAAAAGTTTTGAAAACCACTGGTCTAGTCTAGTGGTCATGGCACTGAACTAGGAGTCAGACCTGGATCTCTTTCTGTCTCGGCCACTGGTCTTCTGTTTGTGTTTGGCCAAGTTGCTTCATGCCCCTGTTTCCCCTCTCATCTTTTGTCTGTATTGTTCTTTAGATAGTGAGCTGCTCTTTGCAGCAAGGACGGTCTCTTCTCATGTGTTTGTACAGTGCCTAGCACAATGGGGCACAATCTCAGTTAAGACATCTGTCTGCTACTCTTAATACAAATAACTAAAATAGTAACTGATTTGGCTTCTACTTAAAGGAGACCTGAAGGTGGAGGGATTGGGAGGGTTTGTGCTCTCTTCCCCTTCTTTATGATTAGAAAAAAGGCTTGAACGAAAGGCTTTTTTCTCTTCAAAATTTGCATTTTTTCTGTTTTTACCTTAAAAATCTCAGGAATGTCAAATCTTTTGTACTCTGTCTTGCTAAAGGGCTCTGAGAACCCAAAAACATGGACTGGGCATTCCCTCAAGGCCTGCTCCAAAACCCATTAGAGCTAATGAAGACTCCAATTAACTTCAGTGGACTTTGGATCAGGTCTTCAGTTATTAAATGAAATGGTGTAGGTGCTGAATCGTCACCAAAAATGCTTTCAGTTCAATAGTTTGTCAGGCATTTTGGATTAAATAGATGTTGACATAAACAAAAGGTAACAATGTGAGTAAAAGTCATCCCCAGCCCTCAGTGAATTGGGTTTCCTTTCATTGATATCTGATATCCTAATTGTATTAGCTTCTCAGTCATCCAGGAACCATAAGGTTGAGACGGTGTGAATTTCTGGTGTAAGGGAGGGAAAAATCAGGCTGCCCGGGTATCATAAATAAATGCTCCCCCACCACCCAAAAAAACCCCTTAAACACATTTGTTTCTGTTTTTGTTACTTTAAAATCAACATTGCACAGTTGACAGACTCTGTGGCTCCACCCCTCAGTACTCTAGTTCACAGGGCCGGCTCTACGTACCAGCACGTGCTCGGGGCGGCACTTTTCAAGGGGTGGCGTTCCGGCCCTTGGGGCGGCAAAAGACCTCGAGCTGGCCCTGCTAGTCTCTCTCACCTGTAAATGGCTAATGTCATGTTAATTCAAAAAGTGTCTTGATCCTGCAGTGAGCTCCTAAATGGGCAGACCCCATTGCAGGATCAGGGACTTTTAACAATACCTAGTTATTTGAGACATATAGTTTCATAAATACTGAGCCGTTGATTAATGTGACCGTGATGATTGTGGTTTGCTCCAGTTAGGTGCTTTGTTCATTGAACCAAGCACAATGTATTTGGATCCTGTCCAGAACAGAGAAGGGAAGAAACAAACTACGCCCATGTTTGTAATCAAGTACAGCTAGTCATGCAGGTCTGGATAGTTTAATCCTGGCCAAGTCTCCAAACTGTTGCCAGGGATTGTTATGCATTAAAGTTGCTTGGAACCATCTGTCTTATTGCAAACGATGGAAGCTTGTGGCATGTCTCATGAGTCTGATGATGTTGGCTAGTGTAGTGGTCACCTGGAAAACAAATGCCAGAATGGGTTGAGGGGGGAGGGGTGGAATAGAGATGAAGTAAACACTCTAAAAATGTCCTTGCCTGTGTTAATATTGCTGTAGATCCTGATTTCACCCCCATCATTTAGTCCTCAGAGGTGCTAGGGTCCTATCATTTGAGCCCTGCAAATCCATGGATATCCATATCTGTGGATGTAGATGTGTATATATGTGGACCATTTTTGCGGATTGTGGATTGGATGCGGATACAAATTTTGTATCCACACAGGGCTCTACCTATCATGCATAGTGGGATAGTCTTTGTCAAATTATGACTTCTGTTTTTGCATTCCATTCTTCCATACTTCCATTCTGTGTGCTGACTACAGTTTTGCATTCTGTGCTGGAAAAATGTTGTCAAGGCCAGTCTGTTGCACTGCATTCCAGACAGGTGTCCAGCCCAGGAAAGATGCTTGACACCTTGTTGAATTACTATGATTTAAAAGCCCTCAGATAGTCAACTTTGACTGTCTTCCAACTGCACCCAATCCCATGGAATAATGAACTTTCTACTCAGAAGTCTGATGGGAGGAAGGGGCTGGAATGTCTCAGTTTGGGCACCTGTGAAAAAAGCACAGACTGTATTTAAGAAGGGGTGTTTCTCAGTGGAGCAGGGCCATTCACTACCACTTGCAAGAATATCTGGGGGGGAGGGAGGGAAGGAGGGACTCTTTACCTAGCCTGAATGCTGAGCATACCTTTGATTCTCAGAAGGATGAGATAAGATTGGGGATGGATGTGTGTGTGTGTGTCTGTGTCTCTGTCTCTCTCCCTCCCCCCCCCCCAAGGACATTTGTTGTTTTGCAAAGATATATAATTTTCTATTGCTTGTTAAAGTAAAGTGACTGTGCTTAAAACATTCCTTTGGCTTTTGACACGGTCTCCCACAGTATTCTTGTCAGCAAGTTAAGGAAGTATGGGCTGGATGAATGCACTACAAGGTGGGTAGAAAGCTGGCTAGATTGTCGGGCTCAACGGGTAGTTATCAATGGCTCCATGTCTAGTTGGCAGCCGGTATCAAGTGGAGTGCCCCAAGGGTCGGTCCTGGGGCCGGTTTTGTTCAATATCTTCATAAATGATCTGGAGGATGGTGTGGATTGCACTCTCAGCAAATTTGCGGATGATACTAAACTGGGAGGAGTGGTAGATACGCTGGAGGGGAGGGATAGGATACAGAAGGACCTAGACAAATTGGAGGATTGGGCCAAAAGAAATCTGATGAGGTTCAATAAGGATAAGTGCAGGGTCCTGCACTTAGGACGGAAGAACCCAATGCACAGCTACAGACTAGGGACCGAATGGCTAGGCAGCAGTTCTGCGGAAAAGGACCTAGGGGTGACAGTGGACAAGAAGCTGGATATGAGTCAGCAGTG